GCACTAACGACAGTACCCTCCAGTCTTGTGCGATAATGTTAATAGTGTTAGCAGCACTAACGACAGTACCCTCCAGTCTAGCGTTAGCAGTACCTTCTCTTGAGGTGTGTGTCTTCAGACAGGATGAAGAGGATGATGAAGGAGAGCAGGAAGATGACGGTGATGGTCAGTGTCAAGAGCAGCCCCAGCAGCCCCTGCAGCAGCAGCAGTTTCAGCAGTAGCATGTGTGAGTCCGGCTCATGGCCAGCCCTGTCCAGCTTGAGGGGCGCAGAGCTCGGGGGTAGCGAGCGAGAGGCTCTGTGACAGAGGTGTGGAGATGCTCTGAGCTCTGCGCCACACTTCCGCTGTGAGAACGAGACTGGGAGTGTTCTGTGTGTGTGTGCAAAGGGTTGTATTCCTGTCTCTGTGTGTGTGTCTGCACCACAGTTTGTGCGTGTGTTTGTCTGTGCGCCTCAGTTTGTGCATGTGTGTGTGTTGCTCTGTGTGTTTGTGCCTCAGTTTGTGTGTGTGTTGCTCTGTGTGTTTGTGCCTCAGTTTGTGTGTGTGTATGTGTGTGCGTGCCTCAATTTGTGTGTGTTTGTATGTGTGTGTTGCTCAATTTGAGGGGGTGCCTCAGTATGGGTATGTGTTTGTCTGTGTGTGCTCCTCAGTTTGGGTGTGTGTGGCTCAGTTTATGCGTGTGGATGGCAGTGTTCCTGTGTGTGTCCTAAGATTGTGTGTACATATGGCAATTTTCTTGTGCTGCATGTGGCAGTGCACGTGTGTGTGTGTGTGTGTTTCTCAGCAGGAGTGTCAAGATGTGGGTGTCCATGAGTGTGCATGTCTGACATCCGTCTATGAGCGTCTGGTGTCAGAGTGTGTGTGTGTAGCTTTATCGCATTTCCTCACATGAAAACAGCATCCTGCTGAGCAGAGGAACGAAACTCAGTAATACAGTTTCACCTCGTTCTGAGGAGGTAGAAGGTTGTGTATCAGACTGACAGAGGAAGACTTTGGAAGTCACTGGTGTTCTTGGTGCCGTCAGTCAGTTATCTTAGTAAACCAAGACAAAGCTGAGGTGATACAGAGAGGTGATTGTAAAACTACAAATCATGAATTATTACAGATGTGCTATTTACATGTGAGATTTTTTTAAACAAATTAGAAAATCTGAAAACATTAATCGTTCAAAAAGTAAGTTAAACAATTATAAATGTGCATTGCATATTAATTATTGATAAAGGCCTGATACATTTTTCATTAAGGAAACATCCATTTGTACCCATTGATGCAGCCATGCCTTTTCCTGTAGTTTGGAGCCCTTTATTTAGTCCACACACAAAGGGGACACATTCTTAAAGACAGCACTTAACACCACATGGAGCTGCAACAGCTCAGTCATGGCAGTATTCCTCTGGTACACTAGAAATACTAGTACTTTCTAGAGACCCCTTTGCACACTGATGCTACAGCCTTTGGTTGAAAACTGGATATCTTAGCACCATCTAGTGTGCACTGTAGGTACTAGAGCCTTTTGGTGATGTGAGCACCCGCGGGTGCACACTGGAGATCTTAGCACAATGTGATTTCAGTGCTCTCTGGTGCACAGTGGAGATGCCCGCACCTTGATTTCAGTGCTCTCTGGTGATATTAACATCTTATTTTAGTGCTGTTTGCTATGGCAAAACATTCATTGATAGCTCATGTCAAAGTTCTGAGTACAGGTTTTTCCAAAATGAATTTTGCAAGCCAAGCCCCTTCAGCATGATATATATATATAAATGCACATGAGAGCAGCACGCTTAACGGCACATTTATGGGTAGGGACTGTGTACGTAAAGGGAATGTGATCACCAAAGTTGGCAGAAATCCGCAGGGCTCTGGCAGTCTGAGTTCCAGCTCTCACGGGACAGTCCTGCAGAATCCACACATTCAAACGAACAAGAACGAGAAGGAGACCAGAATCTGGAATCGAGCAGGTTTTATTTTATTTTTTTTTATAAGAACGGCCGTGTTCGGTCCTGGAGGGGGAGAGGGCTGCCAGCTCCCAGGGGGGTCAGCGCCGCGATGTGAGAAAGGACTGCCGCTGCGGAGAGGAGGGCTTTTCAAGCGCAGGGCCTGTCTGCACGAGCCTGTGTGTCTGTCTGCGCTCGTGGCACTGCACGGTGCCACAGCACCTGTGTGAGAGTGTGTACCTGCCAACTGGCCTGTCAAGAGATGAACGCCTGCGATGCCGGCTTGTCGGTTTATACACCTGTCGGGTGTGTGCATCATGCAGCGGATCGACCTGCCTACCTGCAGACAAAGTCAACCAGTGTGTGGGCTACTACCTCTGTCTGTGCCAGTCAGTCAGTGTGTGTGTCAGGCAGGCAGGCAGGCAGGCACTGCGTTTGAATGTGTCTCACTGGACCTATCTGTACAGGTAGTCTGCTTGTATATTGGCAGCAATCTCTGCCTCCCACTTGTCCCCATTGTTCAACAGTTTCTCCTTGTTATAAAGCAACTCTTCATGGGTCTCTGTGGAGAACTCAAAATTAGGACCCTGGCAGAGAGAGAAAGGGGTACTGGATTAATACATCATAAAGTTGACTGAACACTACAGTACATTAACACTGCGCTGAAAGAAGTTAATTAAAATGACAAAAATTACAGACCTCTACAATAGCATCAACAGGACAGGCCTCCTGACAGAAGCCACAGTAGATGCACTTGGTCATGTCAATGTCATATCGAGTCGTTCTCCTGCTGCCATCTGCACGAGGCTCTGCTTCTATGGTGATTGCCTGAAAGAGGGGGAGGGTTAATACAGTCCAGACACACTGACTGGACACT